ATTATCAAGAAATGAACCCGTAACAAATGCTGGTGGGGCAGTGGAGAAAAAGGAATCCTGCTTCCCTGTTGGTGGGAATGCAGGCTGGGGCAACCACTTGGAAATCAGCGTGGAGGCTGCTCAAAAAACTAGGACTAGTGGTCCCACTCGACCCAGCTATTCCCCTTCTGGGTATCTTCCTAAAACAATTAAAAACATCATACCACAGTATTATATATGTGCACCCAAGTTTATAAAAGCACAACTTGTAACAGCCATATCTTGGAAGCAACCTAAATGCCATTCAACTAAGGAATGGATAAAAAAGATGTGGTATTTTTATAAAATGCAATACTCAACTGTAAAGAAGATAAACTGGAGACTTTTATAGGTAAAGGATGTACTTGAGACCATACTCACAAGTGAAATAAATCAGACACATATATGAAATCATCATAGTGTCTGAGTGTGAAAAGCTGAAAAAAAGCATGTGTGTGTGTGTGTGTGTGTGTGTGTGTGTGTGTATAAAACAGTCAAGATAGTAACACTATTGATTTCTCTCAGTTCATTGAAGAGAAAGATTTGTGCTGGTACTGTTCAGACAACTGAATGCAGATGTCTGGTATTCTGGTTAAATAATATGAGGATGACAATGTGCAAAGTATGTACCATTGCTGCCCCCGATTGACATGTTTTGAAATTCTATTTTTTTCTCTTTGAAATAACATGGATTTTAAAGAACAAAAAAGTGTGATTTCTAAAGTATTTATATACCCATTTAATTACATCCATGGAGAACACCTGGAAACACTGACGCCCTAGCAGCTATGACCACATGTCACGCAGACCTTAATTTCTAAAAAATACCACTTCCCACTAAAAAGGAACCAGTGTTCCTTACACAAATGGCTGACTCAACAGCTGGGGAGGAGAAGACACAAGTTTAAAATAACTTCTTGTGATGGAAAGGAAGCATTACCTATGGGCAAATACAGCAACAAAGTTTTGTAACAGAGTCTGACACCTAAAATAGGATTCCATGCATCCAAATTGATCATAAATAAGAACATAACAAGTATAGGAATAAAAGGAGGGTCATTTCTTATAGCAAGAATCATCAACAGATGTCAAATCTAGAGGTGAATTTTGATGAGAATCTGAGTATCATTATAATCCTCAGTATCTTCCTACAGATAGTTTATTAGTTGTAAGGGAAAACAAATATTAACTATGTACTGAACAAACCAGACCACACTTGTATCAGATGATGGAAATTAACCACAAATAAAGGGTAAGATGAACACTGTAGCTTTCTCCATATATCTTTTGAAGGATGCCTTTCTATAGTGTCCCAGCCAGAAATGCATCACCAGACTCTCATAAGGAACCATCAGAAAGTCAAAGTGAGGAACATGTCTTCAAGTTAGTAGCCTTTATTCTTCAAAATGACAATATCATACGAAAGAAGGGCTGAGTGTTCTACAAATTGAAGGAATTTAAGAGACATTATAACTAAATGCCATCGATGATGCTGAACAAATGCAGTAAAATACATCATACGAACAGCCAAATAAGAACATGAGCTGTAGGCTGAAGTTCTGCCTGTTACATTTCTCATACTTAATAAATATACTGTGGCTACAGAAGAGAATACCTCTGTTCTTAGGGAGTATACTCTGAAGTATTGTATAAGTGACAAGATGCATGCAACCTACTCACATGCAGTACAGAAAAACATGTGCACAGATAAAACGTAAAACAAATTTGGCAAAATGTTAAGTTCTCTCTACTGTTCTCACAACTTTTCTGTAAGTCAACTTCAATAAGGAAAACCCAATAAGACAAAATAATTGTGGATCTTCTTCATATAATATTTTCAGTTTATGCTAATTTTAGTCAGCTTTGGTAGCTTAAATTGGTATCTATTACACTTTTGTGAAACCTACAGAAATAAGTGAACAATGTGGATAGTATGCTACAACATACAAGAACACGTAACACAGAATTTACAACAGAAAAAAAAATACTGAAAAAAATCTAAAAATCTACCACTAATGCAAATTCTGATACATCTACTCTGTAGACATGGCAGTTTTTAAAGACTTTAGTACAGTTTCTAACTTACTCAATGGCTCTGCTTAACGATGGTTTGACTTTAGGATGGTATAAAAGCAGACATTCAGTAGAAACTATACTACAAATTTTGAATTTTTCAGCTTTTTCCAGACTGAGGACCTATGCTGAGCAGTGGAGGCAAACCCAGCTCCCAGATGACTACCAGAATCAGTCTAACAACAGTACACTACACTGCTGCGCTATGTGTTCAGTAAGTTAAGAGTTCTGTTAAGAATATTAAAGGCATTTTCAATTTATAATAATTTTATCATGATGTAAGCATATCATAATCCAAGGAGCACCTATAATTCATTTAAAAAGCTATGCACTATATTATATATTAGATTGAAAAAGTTGATGATATATCTGTCTATATGAAAAAAAAAATTTTTTTTTTTTTTTTGCCTTTTTGAGACAGTATCTCACTATGCAGTTCATGCTGGCCTTGATCTCACTTTGCTGCCCAAACTGGTCTCCAACTTGCAATGATCCTCCCGCCTCAGCCTCTAGAGTGGGGGATTACAGGAGTGCTCCACCATGCCCAGCTTCACAATTGTTTTAATGTGTTTATGTGCCCAGAAACAAAGCCTTAGGGTAAATTGTTACCAGTGACGACTCTGGGAGAATGAGAACAAGAAAAAGGCATTATTTAGTTTGAATTATTTTCCTAAAAGACCACGTATTTTCAAAATCAAAAACTGTATTTTTAAAACTACGACTTAAATGTATATCACCTGGAAAATAATCATTGGAGAACATAAAATATAACTTTGATATCAGAAATGCTTATATACTGTTGTTACTTAGCTACAACAAAATGTATCTTTCTGTGCAAGCACCTTTGTTCTATCAAGTGTCATCCTGTCTTGCCTTTTTTTGGGGGGGGTGCTATTGGAGATTAAACCAAGGATCTTTTTACAGAGCACTGAGTCATTTAGATACATGGCTGGGCTTGAACTTATGATCGTCCACCTCAGCTTCCCAGAATGTTGGGGACTGACAAAACCAACAATCCTTTTATGGAAATGGGTAAGATATCAACTTTAAAATGAAAGACATTGCTTACTTAATAACAGTAATAAAAATGAGAAAACAAATCCATACAATGTTTAACAAAGCATACTGAGAATCACTTCAATTGACAAACTAAAGTACGCGCTAAACACTATACTTTAAACTGTAAATGTTTATGACAGTGGAGATACAGAGATTGTTGAACTTTAAATTGCTAACCATTTTATGAATAAGGAGGATTATCAGTATTCAGGTGTCCTTTTATAGTACTAACAATATGCCTAAGTGTGTAAATATCTGCGACTCTAAATGAACAAATATTTATTAGATTGTGGGGATGTAAAACAGTCTTTTGTCAAAAACATCTTACGAAATTGAAAACTAGGTTTACTTTCATATTAAATGTAATAGCACAATTAAGGACTATTTTCTTTGAAATCTAAATTACTGCTTTAGGCAGTCTGGGTAACAAATTAACCACCACTGTTTGTACTGTACTTTTAAGTCACATTCAGAGTACAGCTGTAATTAATCAAAGATAACTCTGAATAGGATCAGTATGACATACTTTGATAAGCAAAAGGCTATACTCAACAATTAGAGAAATTGCTTTTATTTATTTTGGTTTATTTTCCTCACGTATGTCAATCTCTACACTATTAGGAACATTATTATTACAGCTGATTAACATATATCAATAAACATGCCTTTATTAACAGTGCCTCTATAAGTATTTTCAAACTCATTGCATAAGAGGAAATGTCTCTGAGACATTTGGCTATGTTGTTTTCTAAGTCAGTGCACTAAAGGACTGTCAATTTTCACTCTTTCATTTCCTGACCGTAACTGAGTTTCAATCTGCGTACTTTCGGCAAGCACAATACATGGTGGAAAAAACAGCAATTCAAGGAAAATCCAAGTCACGCATAGTAGCTGCCGGTGATTCTAGGCTTCTCACTTAAACCAGGCTTGGCCTTAGTTACCATATCTAAAAACATCAGTTACTTCCTTACCAGCCTAAGCCTGAATCATCTTACCAGTAAAAGCCAAATCATCTGTAGTGGTTGATCTGGGTCAAAAATCTACAATATCCACACACTCATCCATCAGATTCTCCCGTAATCATGGCCAAGAACCACTGAATAGACTAGGAAAATTATATTCCCTAAATTAAGGCCCTGTATTGTGCTTTAAAACTCGTGAACTCACAGAACGTATCACAAAGGCCACAAAAAGTCTCATAAAAGATAAACAGGGAAAAATGAGTGCTTTTATCTGTGTAACATTCTAGTACAATAGCAGGGTGTATTTCTTACTAAGGATCCGAGGTTCTAACACTCCTGAACACCACGCCTCCCAGAGAAATCCAGTAGACAACAGAAATCCTCCTCAAAGAGCAGGGGAGTGAACAGGACAAACCAAGACACACCACACACCCCCCATAAAGCCCTGGTTTTTCTTTCCCTCCAGCTATGTAGCTGCACCCCAGAGAGAAACTAATTTAGAGTCATCTGCATTTCATTCCTTTCTGTTGCAATAGCTACCCGCCTATAATAAACAGACCTTGTGCTCGAGGGAGAATTTACTTCCCTGTCCAGTAAAAATAAAGTTCCTTATTTTTACGAAGAATGCCATCTCCAATCAACACCAACCCTCCCCGGGGAGACCAGGCACGCCTCTCTCTACCACCCCAGTGGCAAAAGCTGGCGTCCCACACCCTAGAAGTCGCCCAGTTTCCCACCCCTTCAGCTCGGGCGGCGAGGCTGCGGGGGAGCGCGGCAGAGGCCAGGGTGCGGCGTGCAGAGCAGGGACCGCGGGCGCAGGGCTGCCTCGGCCGGCCGGGGGCTCGAGGAGACAGAAGGGGCGCCGAGCCCCGCGCCAGCCTCACTCACCCACTTTGTCCTTCCCGTACATGTGCCCGGCCACCTGATGCGAGAGGGGCACGCAGCCGTTGAGGAAACGCAGCCTGCCGGCCGCCGACTGCGAGATGCCTTCGGGGGCGGCATTGGTCGCCGGTGGGCTCCTCATTTCTGGGGTGCCGGGCGCCTCGAGCCGGAGCGGGGATGGAGGTTCCGTTGCCATAACGGAGAAAAGGGGTAGCAGCGGCGGCGACAGCAGGAAAATAGGGCGGAGGGAGGGGGCGCCGGAGAAGCCGGGGGTCGCTCAGGCTCGGCCGCGAGGAGGCCTGGGGGTTCCCGCGGCCGCTGCCCGCTGAGGCCCGGGAAGGGGGCCCATGACGCCGCGGAGGCGTGGGCGCTCCCTGCCCAACTCTCGGCGGAGCGCGGCTCCCGGCTCCGGATCCCGCCCGGCGCTGCCCCGGAGACCAAACCCAGCCGGCAGCGGCGCCCCGCGGTCCCAGGGGCCCGGACGGCGACCGCGGCCCCACCTCCCGCGCCCCCGCCCCCTCCCGCCGTCCTCCAGTCCGCGCGGCCGCCGCGCGTCAGCGCCGCCCGCCCTCCCGCCAGCTTCCGACTGCGCGACCGCGGCCGCCGCCGCACCGAGCATGCCCAGAAAGCCGCCCGACGGGACCCCCGCGGCGGGGCGCGCGGCGCGGCCCGGGGGGTATGGCCTCCTGCGGGGTTGAGGGTCTTTGTCCCCGCAACTCAGGGGCTGGCTCTACTGAGCGTGCCTCCGAGCTTCCCGGGTAGCAGTCGCAGAACCTCGGGCTTCCAGGTGTGAGGTGCTGCCAGTTACTGGGAGAGCTGGGAGTGGGCGCAGAGCAAAGACAGGGACCTTGGGAGACGTCCCTGCTCTGCAGTCAGCACTGTGCTCTTGCCCTGCGCGAAGCACGGCTCCGAAACACACTTCGTTAGCCCCTCCCAAACGCTGTGTCCAAACTGCGCTTACCAAAAAAGAAAACAAAAAACCAAAGTAACCGACACTAATTTAGGGAGAGCGCTCTTGGGAGATAGAAAATAATCCTAATAGTTTTAGCTATTTTTGGAGGGAGGCACGTTTTTGAGGGAATGAGCTACTCTCCTCCCTCCTACCGTCGCTCTGGACCTCGACAGCGCAGGTTCCAAGGTGGGTGACTGGGTCAAAGGCAGAAGAAAGGGACGATGCACACCAAGGGCTGCGGAGGTTTGGGGATGACATTCTGGTTGATACCTGTGTGCCTTGTCGGGTACGTAAGAAAACTAAATGTGTCCCTGCGTAGAGTTAGACAAGAAGTGAGCAAAAGGATTTTAGGCGCCGTCTTAACCGGTTAAGGAAACAGACCTACTGACAACAGCCTTCGACCAGCAGAGTCACACACCTGGAAGAGATGGACAATCTGACCCGCACGCCTCGTTCCCAGAGCCCCGCCCCTCGGAGTTGCGCAAACTCAATCGCTGCCTCTAAGTCTTCCTGCTGCCCCGCCCCCCCGCGGCTGTCAAAATCCGAACTACACTTCCTTAAGGCCGGGGCCACAGCGCCGCGCATGCTCAGAGTTCACGAGGTGGATCGCACACGTGCTTCCAGCCTGCCGCGGCGCCTGCGCAATAGCGACCCGGAGTCTGTGCCCTTAGGACGCTTTTGGTACCTTGACTCCAGCTGTCTGCGCGAGGTCATTTGTGCTCGGCGGCTTGTGCACACGCCTTGCGAGCGGCGGCGCCATGGGTCTGACTTCCAATTCCAGCGTGCGAGGTGAGGGGGGGCCTGGAAGCTCGCGAGGCTTGCGACCTACGCACCGGTTGCAACGTCTGAGTATCCTCTAGGCTGTTAGGGCGGTCCTGCGCCGCGCCTTGGGTCCGGTGACCTTGAGGTGCCGAAGGGGACGCTTGGGGGCCTGGGCTGAGCGGGAAAGGGGCGAGTCAGGGCGTGGATGAAGAGTTTCACCGGGTATAGTGATTGTCCAGCTCTACAGTCCACGTTTCCTCCAATCATCCCAAACCTAGGACCAAATAATGATTGTACTGGAGGTTCTTCTCTTTCACTCCCAAAATGCTTCTGCGTCCTTAAGTTGTAGGACCTGGGAGAAAAAATGGAAAATGAAGTAAAGGGGGAAAAAAGTCTCCTTTCTTACGTTGAAATCAACGTGGAACCAAAAAGTCAGTTTTCGCGACCCTGAATATTGCATGACTAATCACATCTTTCTTTCTTTGTTTGTTTAAGGTGAAACAATACAATCCGAGGTCCTCATTATACGCAGTTTTTTGTTGTTGTCTTTCTAGCATCTGACGTTTTTTGACAGTAATCCAAAACCATTTTTTAAAAATCAAGTTCATTGATCTTTCAGCTTTCTCAGTCTTATCTTGTGTCAGAAGCTAGGGTTTGGAAGAAAACAATACTTTGCAGAAAGTTGAATTAAGAGAACCTAGAAAATGTATTTAGTGTGGAGTTTCAATTTACTCGCAATTCTTAGTGATATTATAATTGATAATACCATCTACAAGCTGTAAGATATATGTGCTCTTTCTGCCTAGTTATAAAACACCACTTCCCTGGGTTTGGTTACCTGTAACTGTAGTTGCCTAAAGGACTATAGTTGTCTAATGGTAAAGAGATTGTCCGCAAATTAATTACAATTAACCCCCACTGATTCAGTAAAAGTAGTACTGAACATCTGTAGTGCCAGGTTCTCTGAGAAGTTTCTGTTAATCTGAGCCTTAATATTCTAAGAGAAATTCTATAAACTGGAGAGTTCTGCTTCTGTTAAAATGTACTTGACAGAGAAAAAAATAACATTTCCAAGTTAGTAATGATAACAAAAAATTATTACAAAATTTACCTAGACGAATATTCATCGTAGGGCTCTTTTGAATAGAGTCACAAGATGCATTTAAAATAGGGAGTGATTTTGGGTTAAACTTTGAGGGTTAAGATTATGGAGTAAAATTAAATGAGGATTGTGCTGCTATTTTAAATTTTATAGGACTGTTTGCACATGTATCAGTTGTGCCAAAAGACTTCACAATACGTTTTTGATTAAAGTATGGAATTATTTTGTGTAAGTGGGCACTGAACTCAAGTTGCATGCTGTCAGAGTAGGATGTAGATGAACTCTTGGGAAGTCTTACCTCTGTTCGCCAGCTAATCTTTCCTGCAATCAAGGTGAGGTTTTTTGGTTTGGTTTTTAAATCCCACAATAGAGTTCAAAGATGACTTTCCCATTAGTTTACCATTTTCCATGGGGAGCATATCTGTGAAGCATGTTATTAACTAAAAGTGCTCAACTTTTTTGTGTGTAGTAACTATTTTTAATGTTTAGTTCTTAGAATAAGTTTGTTTTTTAATGTCATTTAGTTGAAGGAATATAAGACATTTAGTTTTCAAAAGAATCAAAAGTTTGATTCTACTCTTAATTTTTAATCCTATTTTTAAACCTTTTAATACCACAAGTTGAAAATCAATTTAGATTTTTTTTTTTTTTTTTTTTTTTTTTTGTGGTACCAGAGATCGAACTCATGACCCCGAGCTTGCCAGGCAGGCACTTATGCCGCTGAGCTAAATCCCCGGACCCAATTTAAATCTTTTAATTAAGGGGAAGATGTTCGCGTGTCTGCTCAGTTAAATAAATTCATGATTATAAACTGCCTAAAATGGAAGGTGACGATATTAAGAACTGTGTTCAAGGGAAAGTAAAAACTGTGTACATGCATAATTCTTGTAACAGGAAAAACTAATGGTTGACTTATCAGTAAAAAGAGAGATCAGGCCAGCACTAGGGATCAGGAAAGGCAATGAGAATGAGTGATTAATACTGAAATCCTATCAAAGGTCTGTATCCCTTTGGGAGCTCTGGATCCTGGTTTGGTTGAAGAGAGGATTCGTTCACTGCAGTTTCCACCCCAAGGTGGTCTTCAGTGCCCACTTTCCCAGTCTCTTGTGACTCTTCTTCAGGTCTCTGTAGGTGACCTCTGATTTCACTGTGCTCCTTAATGCCTACTGTGGGAGTCTATTCCCATCCTTAACCTCTTTGCTGTTTGCAAGACATTGAACTCTCAGGCCATTTTCCCGCCATAGCCTCCGGATACCATTTTCTTCTGCTTCCTTTAACTCTTGCCTTGCTGATACTTGTTGCTTTTGTCTTTAAGCCCCTCAAACAGGTTCTCGTCTCTTCAGCCTAAAAGTCACTTATAATTTACGCTCATCTTTAAAAAAGATTTCCTTTTTTAAGTTGACTCTAGGGATTGAATTCAAGATCTTTGCAGTGTGTATTTGTTTTGTTGTTTTATTTTTCGAGAGAGACAGGGTCTCCTAAATTGGAAAATTCCCTAGGCTGGGATTGAACTTGAAATCCTCTTACCTTAGCTTCCCAGAGTGCTGGAGGTTACAGACATGTGCCACCATGCTGGACCTTTTGTTTTGTTTTGTTTTTTCTTCTCATCTTTATTGGTTGTGGTTATTCTTTTTTTTGTTTTTGTTTTTTTAGTTGGGAAGATGGGTGCTCTTACTACCTATGTTATGGAAGCTGGGCTGATCTCAAACTTGAGTTCAAGTAGCCTTGCTTCATCAGCCTCCTGATTACAAGAATGTGCCTTAAGGACATACTTGAAAAAGGCTTCCACAACCTGCCTTCTTAACCTTCCTTTCCCTCAAATCATGTTTTCCACAAGTTTTACTTGCAAGTTACATAGCTATTTTACCTAAAAGTTAAATAGGAATTTATCTGTATACGTTGTGTTTTGTTATCCATACAAAACTCTGATCATTACAATGCATGTAACCCAAACTGCATCTCACAAATTCTTATTCTGACTTTTATATGCTTGTGCATTTTATTGAAACTAAGGAATAATTTTCCGGTTCATTTAACCTCAACATTAATTCAGTAAATTCGCTGATCATCAAAAGTAACTACGTACAAGACTATTTTCTGAGAAGGAATATACAGATCATAGAAAAAAAGCAGTATCTCCTATAGGTTATAAACAGTAGTTAGGGTGGGATTCAAAGTTATAGATAAAAGAAGATTGGAACTAGGTGAGGGTAAGTCAGGGTTCATTTTCATGCTTCCTGTGTGTGTGAGAGAAATGGTCTGTATTTAAAGAATTTTGTGTGTTTATTTTTAACAAATTATGAAGGGGGCAAAAAAAATCAGTTGGTTTAAGAGCAGTGCAGTGATAAGGTGGACAGATGGGCTTCCAAGGGCAAATTAGTCATCCATTATTTCTTTCTGTTCAGCTAACATGTAATGCTAGGTGTATGCCAGACCTTGAGAAAGATGTTACCAGGCATAGTCAGTACAACCCGCCTCCCCAGAGGCAGGGGTGTCCACACAGCTCCTATCCCAGCTTTTCAGAGACACATCCCAATTTTGTGGCAGTTCATGGTAAGAGAAGGCAGCGTACAGTAAAGGAGTTAAAAGAAAAGAAAAAAGATATCTAAATTAAAGCAAAGTAATCCTCAGAATAAAGAAAATTTGAGGACTGGTTTATAAATAAGAGGGTATGGGTTTGGGACCAAGTCCCAAGTTTTCTGTATCTCTGAACAATTTTAAGAGAAAAAAACTTAAGTTATACAATAGCAGGTCAAAGGAAGAGTAAAAAAGAGGGCATTCACTTAGAAATGTTACCGTTCTTAGATGGAGTGGAGTTTGATCTAATTAAAGGAAAAATTATTATGAGAAATGTCGATAGAAAAGAAAAAATGAGGCAGAAATAATGCTCCAGATTTTGAGGCGTCCCAGTTCTGATCCCATACCAGAAAGTTGCCCATATAAAAAACAAAAACAAAAAGAATCTTAGTAAAATTTGTTTTTGCTTCTAAGAATGACTGTTTATAACTGTGTAGCTACTTACGATTGAATGTTTCTTGGGTTGTGTATTTTGTTTACTTGCTGGGATTTTTAATTCTTTCTGTATCCTAATTGTTGATTTTTGATTGCCATCATTTTGCCAATCTCTATAGTTCCTTTTTCTTTCTTTTCTCTAGAGTTGTCAGTGGCATCTGTAGCTTTTTGCCAGAAAAAGACTGATTCAGGTCACAGTAATGAAATGATAAAATAGCAACATTTTTCTTACTTCTGGGAACTGTTAAATTTGTCCATAATGAGAATGGAGAATTAGAATTTGAGAAGAAGAAAAAAATGAATTCTTTTCTTAGGTCCTTATCTAGGTCTGTGATTCTAAAATACTCATCGGAAGAAACAAAGTTAATTTTTAGCACAAATAATGGTATTATGACATTTACTTTAGGATCTCTTTGTATATGTTTTCAGTCCCTGGGGGTCAGCTACTCTTGGGTGATATCTAGATTCAACTCCTTGTCTCTAAATGATTCCTGTGGTGGTGCTTCTTTACGGTGGTGCTTCTTTTCTGAGTCAGTTCTGTAATTTTTTTCACTGTCTCAAGGGGAAAGCCAGGCATGGTGACTCACTCCTGTAATCCCAGTACTTGGGATGCTGAGACAGGAGAATTGTTTGGAGACTAGCCTGGGCTACAAAGTGAGCCCAAGGCCACCCTGAACTGCGTAGTGATATCCTGTCTCAAAAAGACCAAAAAAATAAAAAACTTTTTAAAAATGTGGAGGGTTTGGGGGGAATCCAGATGAAGTAAGGTTTTGTTGTTGTTATGTTTTAAGTCACCATAAGCATTCAGTTGGTAATATCAGAAAGGAAAATAGAACGTTTTAACAATTAAGAAAGTTTTTTTGAATCTATTATGTGTATCACCTGGAAATTCCTATAAGATTTTTCATATATATATATATATATATAAAATGAGTCAAAGTACTATAACTTTAAAAACTTTAGTCTATAACTTTAGTCTATAACTAAAATCAACAGTAGTTAAGGAGTTGTTTTATTGGCCTTTTGGGATATTGACTGTTCAGTTTTTACTAAAGACAACATTCAGCAAACATTGTTGGGCATGTACTTTGCAAAGCAATGTTGTAGTTTGTTTTAAAGCAGCTGTTAGCTAAGAAATAAATTGCTATAGCTTCTTACATAGGCAATATTTTCTCAACAGTCCCATGGCAAATAATGTATCTAAAAAGAATATCACAAATCAAACTGAAAATCACAGCATTGCAGTGATTACAGTTGCAGCCTGCTTACCACAAGGCAGTGCAACTAATCTGCCTTAAAATTCAAGAGAAATTTGTACAAATGTGTATTTTAAAAACGTCCAGCTGGGCTTCCCATATTCCCAGCACTTAATAGGCTGAGGCAGAAGGATCACTGTTGAAGGCCAGCCTGTACTACGTAGCAAGACCCTGTCTCAAACAATAAATAAATTAATTTAAAAATCCTTGAGGGGTTGTAGTGGTGTGCCCCTGTAATCCCAGCACTCTGGAAGTTGAGGCAGGAGGGTCACAGGTTTGAAAACAGAAAGACTACATAGCAAGGTGAAGTCCAGGCCATACTGCACAGAGAAACACTGTTCAAAAAAAATTGTGATCAGGTTAAAGATTTGAAGCTCCTGTCAAGTGACGGATTGTCCCAGTGATGAATTACCTGGAAAGATCAATTGTTAACATTTTTATTTTAGCAGGTATAGCAAAGATAAATGGAAATATGAGGGAAGGAAAACAATCTAAATTACAAACAAAAATACTGTAGTTGAAAATAAAACTCATACAACATGCTAACTAGGAACAGTTGATAAAAATTAAATTATTAAATAAACTAGAAGACCAAGATAAAAGTAAGTAAGTTTGAGAGTAATGATTCCTTTCTATATTAGAGTTTTTTTTAATTGAGCTCCAATTTTATGTAAGATAGTATTTGGTATGGTGATTGATCACATTAGTAAAAGAAGAAATTTTACTGAAGAGTGCCAGTAAGCCATACGGGTAATTGTTCATTATGAATTTTTATTTGGTCTTGGAATGTGTTTTTTGTACTTATGTCTCTAGGGCTTTACTTGATAGTCTGGGAACTTACTTCAAACGCTGTGAAGATCTGGTTTAGGAAGTGCTGGGCATTAGTCCAGTATGTTTGTCCTGACCCCTGTTCAACTTCTTCCTGCAGCCCGCTCCATGCTGGGACTAGACAACTCTCTTCTGAGGCTGAGGCTAAGCAGATTATGCAGAATTTCCTTCTCTCCATCATTGCCTGGACCTGGGGTAGTTGTTAAGCACTTGGGTTTCTAAAGCTTCCTTTACAAGCTACACCAAAAGAATAAACAAATGGCCTGTTAATCCGACAAGCTTTATGATTATTATGAGAAAGTAGAATAATACTAAATTTAAAGTGGGATTTGTAGGGAATGACATCATTCACTTATAATGGAAATTTAGAATTAAGTGAGAATGTTGACTGTATATGCATTAATCGTGTTTTATATAAAATTAATATTTTTTTATTTGTTTTAACTGGCATTCTGAAATTTTAAAAAACACTTTTGAATGATTTTTAAATCCAGACTCCTGCAGTGTTTATCATTTGAATGTTTCGCATTGGGTAGTTTTGTCCCCAGTAATACAACAACAAAAAAAAGTGGGAAGAGTTATTTTGTTTTATGTGTCCCCCTTTTGTCTCCCCCTTTAGATACTGTTTTTAGTTGTGCTTTATGCAGTTGTTGCCAGACTTCTGATAATCTAAAACACTGTAAAGTCACCAAAAGAGCTTACTACTTAAATGAACTTTGATACTATTTTGTTAACATAATCACCTGATTTTTTTTTTCTCATTTATGACACAGATTTTTGTTTTTCAGTGGTTTTGCTTTTTTTTTTAACCAATACTTGCTGGCTGACTTTTTTTTTTTTTTTTTTTTTTGTCTTTTTCCTTTTTATCTGTACCAGGGGTCGAACTCACGACTGCCTGCTTGCAAGGCAGGTGCTTATGCCGCTGAGCTAAATCTCCAGCCCCTTGACTTGTTATTTTGAAACTATGAACATTTTAAAAAGACTTAAATAGCCTTGCTTTTCCTTCTGTTAGAGAAAATAACCTTTGTTTCCCTTCTCTAGCTTAATTTAGCTGTCATCCCTCAATAGAAAATACACAAATGCTCTAAGAGCTGGAGAAAGTCTTACCAAAGACCTATCATTACTCCAGTGTGCTCTGGTCATTTTGTTAACTTTGAAAATCTTTGATTGTTAGGCTGTTTGAAATTCAAAAATCGGATTTTTGTGTACATTTGTGTTAGATGATTAGTGTATGTTTTGGTTTCCATAATTGCACTTCTTTTCCTTCCCTGCTGTAGTTGAATGGATTGCAGCAGTGACCCTTGCTGCAGGAACAGCTGTAATTGGATATCTAGCTTACAAAAAATTCTATGTTAAAGATCATCGCAATAAGTCTATCATAAACCTTCACATCCAGAAAGACAACCCCAAAGTAGTACATGCTTTTGACATGGAGGATCTGGGAGACAAAGCTGTGTACTGCCGTTGTTGGAGGTCTAAAAAGGTGAGGAAAACAAATGTTTCACACACGCCATTTTTAATGTAACATTTCTTTTTTATACCATTTTATCCAACTTTATTTTCAAATGTTGTTGTTATCCCTCTTTATTTTTTTCTAATTCTGTTAAATATATTTACTGAAACCACTATGCAGTAAAATTACATCATACCCTCCGTGGAGTTCAGGTAAATTTAACCATATTCTTGTCCAAAGGAGATAAAAAAGTGTCTAATGTACTCTTAGGATTTCCTCAAGTGGATTCTAGCTTCTGCTGTCCTACTGTCCCAGGTTATAGGAATATCTGAACACAAAGAAAAACAAAGATGTCAAGTCTTTTTTTTTCAAAGTCCATTCTAGGACAATTTTTAGAAATTTCAAAAGAAACTCTGTAATAATTATTCTTATTGGCAGATATCCTAAGCTCCCTTTCAGCTGCAGCTCCTATACTTAAATAACTAACTTAAGGTCCTTAAAAATCTTACTTTCTTTTATAAGTATTATATTTTATAAACTTTCTTGTGGCTGTATCACCTATGATACGTTTAGACATGAAGTAGGGCAGTGAACTAAGTAAGATGTCAGAATCCTCCCCCCAGGGTCAGCTTGAAAGAATTTATATACTGAGTTCAGAGTGACTGATGTATTGAGAAATGTTTTGTAAAGACGGTGTGTACAGCCACTAAAAACATTCAGGTAAAATGGATTTCACAAGAATGATACTAAAATGCTTTAAAAAATAAAACAATGAAGTATTATATCTGGATTACCATTTAGCTAAGTGATAAAAAGCTTGCCCAGCATGCCTGAGGCCTCTGAAAAAAAATTCATTTCTGAAAACAGTATACTGGAGACTTCTTCCTACAGTGGAGATCCATTTTCATGACTCCGTATTATATATATGAAAGAAGCTATGGACTAGATATTAAAAATTGTATTTCACTAAACCATTTCTCCCTATATATAAAACTTAGATTATGTCTAAAAACTGCTTACTGAGTGTATGGAATACAAACCACAATTGTAGGGCTGTTACAACAAATTGTACCTAAAGAAAACCATTGTTCATTTGGATTTGAAATTGTTAGTAGAAGTACTCATGAAATCACTAGAAAATAATTTCTTAATAACATTCCATACACTAAACTTTTCTTTTTTAAATGTCCTTATGGTAAGCTATAGTCTCTTGTTGCTCACTAAAATGAAATAATGTATCTAGAAAGTGTAGAATTTGTGCCAGAGTATCAAATAGTTCTCTATTTTATATAGCTTTTGTTGTAGAAAATTTGGTTCACAAACAGAAGCATTTGACAGAATTTTATTTTTCTTTGCAAGCTCTGCATCCGGTGACAAGCACAATTATGGCCATCTTTTCAAAAACTGTAAAACAAATTAAGTTTTGTGAACCAAGTTACCACCATGTATATATACTGTAGGAGAAAAGTTAAATAGTAATAGATGTGTTAGATGTATACTTAGTACAAGTGTTTTAGATAAAAGGAAGGGTTTATACCATGGACTAGAGTTTTCTAAGAAGGTTTAGTAATAATATTTGAGAGTCAAGTTTGCCCCTGAAAAGATTGATGGCATCTGAATAAGATACATTAAGGATCCTTTTTCAGAAACAAGAAAATTTGTATGAAGAAAACAGATGAAGACTTTAGTCTGCTCCTTGCATCAGGTCCTCTTTCTCCAAGAATGTGTCTAAATTGAAGAAAAGCTTGAGCACAAATGAGAATTTGTACTTCCAGACATGAAGCAGAGGGACTGTGGAGAATATCAGGCACACAATTATGATCATATACCAGGGTGCCAGCTCTGAAAATAGAAGGAAAAAAACATGAAAAATTTTGAGGAAGAACCAACCGAAATTAAGGCAGAAATACTGAAGGATCCAAGCATATGGATAAGAAAAGGATTACGCTATTAACAGTAAAAAGGGATTCAGAATGAAAGCCCATTTCTCAGGGCAGTGATCACAATTCCAAAGAGTGGATTTGAGGTGACAGTTGAACAGAGGTGTACAGCAGATGAGCCAAAATGTGGGAGTAAAGCTGAGGCCTCAGGGTTGCAGATAGAGATCAGTAGAACTGATGAGTCAAGTATAGGAATGCAACTGATCTGTGATACGATAAAAATTAAGAGCTCAGTATGAAATCTGAGAGAGTTTTCCACATTTGAGAAAGAGTCATAGCCATGGAATGGGCCAGAGGTTAGAATGAAGCCAAAAATCTTGTGGGTTCAAAGTGATAAAAAAATTTTCAGAGATTGGATACTAAACGTTGGCCTGTACAAAAACAACCAGGTAGACTGTTGGATGAAGCAAGTAGGCAGTTGATCTTTTGATGTCATTTCAACACGAATTGGAATTAAAGATGCGCCCAAGCAGATTATAATATTAATTACTAATAAAGAAATGCAGAAATTTCAGTTAAGTACAGTGAGTGGAAAGAAAACAACAAGGTTGCCACTTCAGTGAACTGTAAGGCATGACTTTGAGAGCCAGCAAAGAATGTTTCCTTTGGTTAGGCTTCCCAGGAAGTAAAGTGTCCAATAAGTAAATATGAACTTTGTTAAACTAAGATCTCAAGTATTGCAGGAAGAATCACAAATGGACACAGTTTTAGTTGTTTAAATATTTATTAGATGTTAAAATTCAACAAAACATTCCAAGATTGTCCTTTAATTTTACAGTTTAGAATGTCCAGATGGTTAGACGAGGGATGGCCATTTCTACAAGTAGACTTTAAGTAGAAGGAATGTCAGAATCAGACCAGTTATTTTATTTTCATTTTTCTCAGTGTCTTTTGAGGAACAGGGAGTTGGAAGGTCTTTATGCCATTTAATGATCATCTTTGCATCTAGGATTTAGCAGTTCCAAATTTTCACAGAATCTTGGGCACTTGTTATGCCTGCATGGACCTGTTAAAGATTGACTTGGAATATTATTCAAGTGAATGAGTGTTTTTATTCTTCAGATACCTTTGGAAACTCCCCACATCCCTGAGGTTATCACAAAGTGCCAAGTCACACTTTTACTTAGCAGTTCACAAAAGACATATAATTAATATTTTTGGCTAAATGATCTGTTGGGGTAGTGTTCAGTGACTTTCAGCTCATTCAAACCAGATGTACCTATTTCTAACAAAATCTAAATACTTTTTTACCAAGCAAGAAAAATTACATGTAACAGAACTTTGTTCCCTTCCACATCCTCTTTTTTGTTTTGTTTTGTTGTTTTATTTTGTTTATGGCTCTTCAGATTGAACCTAGGGCCTTGCACATGATACACTAGCACTGTATCCTGGCTGCATTTCTGGACCTTTTTTCGAATTTTTGAGACAGTTTCACTAAGTTGTCCAAACTGACCTCAAATTTGGAGAATTCCTGTCTCAGCCTCTAAGTAGATGTGTATCAGTCCTGCATTGAGGTACAAACACCCCTACCTAATGAATCAGAGTATAATTGTATAATTTGCACTTGTTAATATACCCCATTCCTTCTGTCCCAGGCTTGGTACACCCTCTTATGTTTCAGAAACTGTATCACCACAGAGCTATCCATATTTAAATTAACAGTGAAAAAAATCTAATAGAAAGGAAATGATTAAAGTGACTTCCAAAAAAAGGTATTTGAGACAGTGGTGTCTAGAAAGAAGGTGGAAGGAAGTGAAAATAAACATATTGATGAGCTTCAGCTTTAAATTGGAAGAAATAATCTTACTTTCAATATAAGAAAATATCCCAGGTGTGGTATCACATGCCTATAATCCTAGCACTTGGGAGACTGAGGCAAGAGGATGACCATGAGTTTGAGGCCAGCCTGGGCTACACATTGAACTCAAGATAGCCTGAACTACACGGTGAGGCCTTGTGTCAAAAAAACAAGACAACCCCAAAACCTGTTAAGAATATGAGCAGATTGCATTGAAACTCCAGGGTCAGCCTGGACTGCAGAGGTAACACTCTGTCTCCAAAACAGAAACACAAAACCAAGAAAATAAACTAAGTTCAATGTAAGAAGAAAGAGTATGCAATACAGCCTTGCTAGATTCCCACCTCCCTACTTACCTCAAAGGACATGTAGAATTTTTTCCTTGCATTTGAATGATGGTGGTTATAGGGTTGCTTCTGTTTTAGTAGATACGAAAAGAGAGAAAATGAATCTCTGTCCTATTAGAAATAATGAGTTTATTGTGACTCTTGTTTCTTCATAGGAATTACATTTGATTAGATTCCTTGGAAATCTATATAAGAATGGTCTTGTAAAATCATAACTTTCTCTTTCTGGCTCTTTAAATTCATTATCTAATTTTTTACTAAGTATGTTAGACCGTTATAAAATGTCATATTGTTCTCTGTGATAGTACCAAGGATTTCATTGCCTTAGTTTTTTTTCTCAACAAAAGCAACCATGTTTCTCAGTTTATGTAATGAGTCAAAATGACCCCAGGCAACTTCCTTGGAACAGAACCTCCAAACTATTACATGTATAAAGTTTACCGAAGATCGGGGGGAAAAAAAACAAAGTTCATAGAAGAAAGATCATGTGTTGATTTTTTTCAAATTGTTTTAGGTAGAAGAAGAGATAGCTCAAGGAGGAGCATTTATTTTAAATCACCTTAAAAACAAGCGACTTAAGATGTAGGAGTCATTCAGTAAACAAATTTTGTGTTTTTTATAAAGAGACTAAAATGTTACCATTTACTGATATTTTTCTGTTAAATTTTTATGTCAACCTCTTTTCTCCCTCTATGTCTCCAGTTACAAAGGTTTCTAATTTTCAAGTTGGGTTGACATAAAAGGATATTTTCTGGATTTGCAAGAACCTGTCTCAATTTGATTCAAAAACTTGCTCCAAGATTTGTTAATAAATACTAGTGTCTTGTAATAAATTTGATAGAATTTGATAAGAAAAAAAGAAATTAATGCTTTGTTTAAATTGCTCATTTTGGCTCGATTGAAAGAAGTTTTTAGATTTTTTTATTAAAATGAGAAATCAGTAATAAATGAATATAATCACATGAAGTTTAGGATAAGATTCTGATTTAGGGCTGCGGATGTAGTCTAGTGGAAGAGTATTTGCCTACCTTGCACAAGGTCCTGAGTTCAGTACTCCATACCACATATGTGCTACACACACATACAGATTCTGATTTAAGAGTCATAAATCCTGGGCTTGTCAGTGGCATACATGTTACTTGTTTTTCTTTTAAGACAAAAGGTTAATTCATGAGGTTTTTTTTCTAAACTAAAACCTAATTATTCAGGTTGAATTGCAGTGTTGGCACTTTATGATAAATCAGTGGGTTTTGGGTTGTAGCTTAAGTACTCAGTCTCTAAAAGTTGGCCATCTTTAGGTTAAGTGGTATAAAAAAATAACCATTAGAAGATTGCATCCCCAGTACCCTCACAAAAAGAACCTGTGTTAACGCCCAAATACTTTTTAGTGTTTAGTTTATATTTAAAATATTAATGGTTTATATACTTTAATGTATCATAATTAATAGCCATGATTACTACTCACTAATTTTCAGAGAAGTATTTTTTGTTTTTAAGACTATGAAGAAGCATGCCAGGGATTTAGCTCAGTCATGCAGTGCCTGCCTGGCAAATGTGAGGCCACAAGTTTAATTCCCAGGACCCCCAACCCCCAAAATGAAGGCTGATTTCAGTCTTTAGGCAGAAGTGGATAACTGAAGTATAATTTTAGACATTTCACCTTAATATTTAAAAAACTAGATTTCTCTCCTGTCTTGATTCTACTGTATTTGTCTAGGAAAATAATGTGCAAAAGTATATTAGGTTTTCTAGAAATAAAAAGATAAAAACTAAGTGTGCCATTTCAGTAGGTTTTTTTCATTTTTCAACTAGCCACAGGGGAGAACATCTGTAATCATGGCTCCTTGGAAGGTTAAGACAGGAAGATCTCTAGTTTAAGACCACCCTGGACAACTTAAGTAGACCCTATACTGAAAATTAAAAGGGCAGGGATATGGCTCAGTGGTAGAGTGCCCGAGTTTGAGATGCATTACTACAAAGGAATGTTACATTTTTCAGAAATGCATTTTGTAACCTGCATGGGTAAAACTCTAGAGTGCAATGCTTTGAATGTCTGTGTGATTTTATAGAAATAAAGTTATTTACAATGTAAACTTTTTTCTCACTATGAAATCATGTTTTTGAAACATGCTGTACTTTGAAATGCTGTCCTTTGCTGTGGGATACATTTCAGTCTGTTTTTATGACCTCTTTGCTCATCTGTATCTTATTAAAAAAAGAAAAAGTATAAGCTTCTGTACATAACATTCACACTTCCATCTGCTGCTAGATTTATATCTAGAAATACATGTTGATACTTTGAGATATTCTATAATTTTTAATTACTTTAATGCCTTTTAGAATTATGTACAGATAGAAGAATTAAGATTTAATGTGAGCTAAATATTATTTTAACCTCAGGATAGAGGGTTCTGAATATCATAGTTTTAGATGATATATAGATTATCAAAATTGAGGTATCTGAAATTATTGTTCTTCACTTTGAGGGGGGCTGGGAATCAAACTCATGACCTCACACTTGCCAGCCAGGCGCTTATGCTACTGAGCTAAATTGCCAGCCCTGTTTTTCACTTTATTGAGGTGATTATTACCGCAAAGTACAATATTCCATCACTTTATTCCTCTAAGTAAGTTCTTTCAATGCTGCAGTGTACCTTGTATCAAACTGAAACTGCATATGTAGGTGCACTGAAAACATCAAGAATAGTACCAAGATACTCTGCTGGCATAGAAATAAAATGTATAAGTACAGAAGGAAAGAAATGAAGCATTCACTAATAATTGGAATCCCTAAATGTAAAATACAAAGCATCATCTGAAACATTATAGAATTCTTGTACTTTTAGTTGAATAATAATGAGAATATATTTCCAGAATGCAAGGATATATAGAGAATGTGAATATTCAGATATGAAACCATAAGAAATATAAAATAACAAAAATGATCTTAGCAGAATATCCCTGAGACATGAAAATAAAAACTACAAGAGAAATAAGATGTGCCAAAAAAAATTCTCAAAGCTTGTCTAGAAGAATAAGTAAAATTCAGTAACGTTAGCAAAAGATAATGAATGAAAACTAGCCCATTTTAAACAGTTATCTCACTGTGGTAGGCTGATCAGTGTAAATAAGCACTACAAATAAGCACTTGCATAATGAATTTATTTTGATAGAATTTTGAATAAAGGCATGACAGTTTTCAAACTGTCACAGGCTATAATATATAATAGTGATGCAATAGGAAGGATTTTAGAATAGAGTCTCTCAAAGTATGCTCTACAGAATGGTATGGTAGTAAACATCAAAGTTAAAAGTGTCTATAGACAACTTGAAAAATTATGGGTTAAACTAGTGTTTTTTACAGTATGACTTCTTTTAAAACGTATGTTTTCTAACCAATTAAACTGAAGCAGAATATCTTGCAGGATTTCATCTTTGAAACACACTGGAAAACACTGAGAAATTTAGTTTTGTTCCTTTCTTCCCTCCGCTGGACACCAAAATGGCACTTACTCATAAAATGTTAAATTATGAAAAGGAACGAAAGTTGGAAACTTATATTAATCACATTTCTAAAGCAAAAATTCTCAATGAGAGGCTGGGGATTTAGCTCAGCAGCTCAAGTATTTGCTGATAAGCATGAGATCATGAGTTCAAACCCCAGTACCAAAAAAAAAAATCTTAATGAACCATGTTTAAAAGGGAAATATTGGTATAATCATATGAAAGTAAAAAAATTAAACATACTAAAAATAAACAAAATGATAATAATGTGGAGAACAGTTTGCTACAAGGCTGATAACAAAGGAATCATACACAAATATTTTTAAATGAGTGAATTTAAAAATCTTATAAATAGAGTTGTGGATAAATAAAAGCTCAGGGACATAAAGCTCTGGGTTTAATCCCCAACACACAGAAAAACCTTAACAGAATAAACAACAGACCTAATTCTGTATAAAACGGGTTAGTACACAGGCTTGGAAATATCCATCATCAAATACAATAATAAAGTTGAACTAATGATCTATATATTATCCTCACAGGATTTCTTCCTCTTAGCCTATGTACTTTATTTTGTTTTGTTTTGGTTTTGGTACCAGGGATCAAATTCACGACCTCACACTTGCCAGACAGGCATTTATGCCACTGAGCTAAATCCCCAGCCCTCCTATGAACTTTATATATGCCTATATAAAGCAGCCAGGAAAAATCATTTTAAGTTACGATACATGTAAGTTAGTATCACTCCCCACTTCACCAAGCATAATATTGCTTTGAGCATTAAACATTTCACTTCTCTTTCTTCCTAGTTCCCATTCTGTGATGGATCTCACACAAAACACAATGAGGAGACTGGAGACAACGTGGGACCTCTGATCATCAAGAAAAAGGAAACTTAATTGGACAGTTTCGATGCTAAAAGTCAACTCATTGTGATGTTATGTGATTGTTTAATCAGAATGGCTACCACTTCTGTCTGATTCACCCCTCCTGGATTCTAGATGTGGTATATTGCAAATTTCAGCTTTCATGTTCATGGCATTTGCCTTACTTGTTGAAACATCGTGGTGCACATTTGTTTAAACAGAAAAAAAAAGGAAAAAACCAATTTCATGGCTTGTGGGTTCTTTTAGTCTTGTCAGGATCCGTTTCTTCACATTTAAGATATGGTGTTAGAATATAGTTGTATCTTGAAGTTAACATTAAATTATTTTCAAAGTCTTATATATGCAGATCCTACTTGTTTGAAAGAAAATTACTCCCTTTTCATATTTCTTAACCTACAAGATAAATAGGATATGATTAAGTTGCATTAATTTCTTAATACAGTCTAGGAAAACCCTGTTATGACCATGATTTTCTTCTTGCATTGGTAATGACAATAAGAAAATGTGGTTTCTGTGTCTTCAAAATTTTCAATTAGAATGGACTGTGAATATTTTTTCAATTATAAATCATCCAGGTTAGTAATAAAGGGGCAGCAACTTCCTTGTGTTCATCTTCATGAATATTAAATTGGTCCATTAAGGAACCAAAAGTAGAAATTTAGATCTTGATGATGATAGATTTAAAGTGACCATGAAAAGTGTCTTTAAATGTAATTTCCAGGATGCTGGCCCAAGGAGTGGTCAGCCCTCCAAACTAAGGATATGGAAGGAGACCAAACACATGATCAGTCCTTTGATCACAAGGCCACACATCCATGACAGAAATAGTAGTCACAAAGTATGCTCACGGGCGTGAGAAAAAATTTTATTTTCCACATTGGATAATCAAACACATGACATATAATAGTGAAATTATTTTAGAAATTTAAAAGAATTAGATATTTTAAGTGACTTAATACATTTTCTTAAAAGGAAAAATTTGAAGACAATTGCATCTGTAATGCTCTGCAAAGACTCAGCAGAAGCAATGGATTCATTACTGATTCTAAAAAAGAAAACTGAAAACTAAAAATGATTAGATACAGTAAAAGAAGACAGAAATAATAGGTGTTAGAGTTTTATAGATGAGAAGGAAAAGTCATGACAGCATAGATAATTTGGGCAATCAGGTAATTTGACATTGATAGAACAAGTAAACATTTCCTTTAGTACACTTGCATTCTCAGTAGTAGTTGATCACAAAATTCCAACCATGGGTGTCATAAGAATCAAAACAGACTGCAATATCCCTACATCTGTTCTGTGCTGTTTGTTCATGCAATGCAAGCTTCAGATATGCCAGGCAAGCTGTTTACCACTGAGGCCCCAATCACAGATATATTTAAAATACATTGTTTAATGTATTAAATAGGTAGTGGTTGCTGCTAAAATTATGCACACTTGTTTTAAGTAACCTGTGAGACTGCTCTAGGTGTGTTTTTAAAGAATATCTTCAGTACAAGATCATGAGTTCGATCCCCGGTACCAAAAAAACCCTACAATCTTCTTCACTTAGGTTAGAATTTTTCACTGCCAGCCCCCAGTTTTTTAAGTAATTATGAATGATCAGCCTCAGAGACCATCATCATTTTAAATTTAAAGGTTGTTTTAAAGAAAAATCTGTAAACCTCCAAAATTTCTGAAGCATTACAGTATACAATAAACTATCTTTAATTTAAAATTATATTGTTACACTTTATTTTTAATTTAAAATTATATTGATTAGTGGGAAGGGGACACCTAGCATCTGTTCTCAAACTATTTTTTCAAAGGTATAGCTTTGTATGAGGCTTTGAGTGGGGGAATTTGGAAGTGATCACTACAATGGAATAGAGATCTCGATAGTTAAAAATGATTAGGTAATTGCATTTTCAGGGTCATGTTAAAATCTTATCATATGCTTTTGAACCAATTTGCTCTATGATATTAAAACATTTACATTACCAAAATTTAATAAGTATGGTTAATATGAGATCTTTTACACAAACATTGTGTGTAAGCAGGGGGCCATGTCACATACCTATAAGGCCCCGGCACTTTAGAGGGATGATACAGAATAGCAAGTTTGAGGTCAGCTAGGGCAATTTAGCAATTTAGGCAGACGCTGCCTCAAAATCAATACTTCTAAACTAGGGCTAGAACTGTAACTTAATGCAAAGACTCTGGGTTCAATCTGCAGGACCACAAAAATAGAACTGCAATTATTGTTCTAGTTAAATACCTTAAAGCTTCAAATTGCCTTTTATTTGATTGTTAGACAAATGGGGCTCCAGCATTTTTTCTGTGCATCATTTATGTTCCCAATGATATCTGCAGCAAAATTTTATGCTAGGATAAGAAGTTTCTGATGTAGACAAGCTTGTTCTGTACATGGAGCAACACATTGATTAGCCATCTATAGGCCATGTAATTAAGTATGAAGCATGTTGGAGAATTAGAAACTGACAGATTAGATTATATAATCTATGGTATAAGTTACATAATTGTAATTTGATTTGGGATAATTATACTTTATAAACTATGGCACCTATATTATGTATATCCAGTGTTTTTTACTATAAAGTAGATAAAATTATTTTAAATTCATTATGGAAGTATCTGGTTTGTTTGAAGATAAACATTGACTAAGGTTCCTGCTTAGCAACATGTATAATGCTTGAGTATCTATGAGGGTGTATTATTGTACTGGCTGCCAAAAGCTGTGCTTGATTTTTGGGGTTTTTGTTTTATTTTGTTTGCTTTGTTTTTTACAACCCCCCCCCCCTTCGTAGCTTTTTAAACTGAAGCATCTGAACTCAATGGCATTTTAAGCATTTGTCCCCAAATTCTAGGACAAGATTAAAATTTTCTACTATCCATGGTGGAGTAGGCTAATGGCTATCAATTTGATTGTGTGTGTGTGTATGTGTGTGTGTGTGTGTGTGTGGTGCTAGGGATTGAATCTAGGGCTTTAGCATGGTAGGTAAGCAACAGTGCTACATCCCCAGTCCTTAATTTTTTATTTATTGTTTATTTTATTTTTTTTGAGACAAGGTCTCACTATGCATTTCAAACTGACCTTGAACTCACCATGTAGCCTAGCCTAGCCTTGAACTTGTAGGCAATCTCACCTCAGCCTCTAATGCTGGGATACAGGCATGCCCCACCACAGCTGACCTGAATTTAATTTTTAAAAATGTTTCTAGCTTGTATTAAAATATTCTTTATTCAGTGGAACACTGATATTACATTTGCCTTAAATATCTTTTTTTTAGCAAAATGAATCGACAGCCATATATTGATGCATACTGTTTAAATGCTCCATGAAATTTGCAAGCCTAGGAATTACCAGGCCAAGGGCCAAGTCATTTAAGTCCTGAGTAATGTCATTTTATTAAAGTACTAACATGGCTTCATTGATTTTGACAGTTTGTATATGTGCCATTTTCATATCTGATAGCAATGTGGTGAGGCTTCACAGAAAGTGATTTTTAAAAAGTTTTTTTTTTTTCACATTAACCATCGTGAATCCAAGTAAAGGACAATGCCAATCTAAATCCCTTCTCAACCTATAATTGTGAATGATTATGCAGTATGAATATTTGCAATGAATAATGGCTGAGTATCAACTTTTCTTGAGAAAAGGCTGTATATTTTTACGAGTTGAATAAATTGGGTGGGCTAGTGGTAGAGTGCTTGCCTACCATGGGCAAAACCCTTGGTTCAACTCCCAGAACCCCCCAGTTTCATAAAGAAATTGCAAGTTGAGGGCTGGGGATTTAGCTCAGCGGCATAAGTGCCTCCCTTGCAAGTACATGGTCATGAGTTCAATCCCTAGTATCAATAAAAAAAAAGAAAAGGAATTACAAGTTGCCAACAATCATGCTAAATGTGAAAGGCTAGTAATAATTTCCATCATTAAATCAGTGAAAAAATATAAAGTTAAAAATTACAGGTGTTTAGATAACACGATGGTGTTATCTTTGATATATCTGAACAACAAAAAGGCAGTTCAATCTCAAAATGGATTTGAGAAGGCAAGCTTAGAAATGCATCATTATACCTGGCTCTAAGCTTTTATTTTTGTTTACTTATGTGTTTCTCATAAGCTTTCATGATGCAGATTCCCTCTCGTTTTGGACAATAAAATTTCTTCACCTTCATCTTACCAACATTACTTAGTATCCTTTGTGTGAAAGTGTTCCTATTTCTTCACTCTGCACCCCTTCCATCAAAAAGCATTTCAGTTTTCACTTAGAACAACCTCATCCCTTTTTTTTTTATTTTGTTTTTCTTAGAATCCACAGCAACTTCGTACTGTGTCTGCTTCAGTCCTAACCCAGGACGCCACCTAGTGTAGAGTGCCTGATAATGAGAATACTAACTAAAAGTGACATTTTTTAATTTCACATATTCAGTATAGGGAATTGTTTTAAGTTCCTGGTTCTAAAGTATCGTTGTATCCTTGTAAATTGGTCACTCACAGATATTTTCATTTCTGACTTCTTTATGATTTTTTTTTGAGACAGTGTCTCATTATGCAGTTCAGGCTGGCCTTGAGCTCACTTTGTAGCCCAGGCTGGTCTTGAACTTGCAACAATCCTCCTGTCTCAGCCTCCCGAGTGCTGGGATTACAGGCATGAGCCACCATGCCTGGCTTCTTTATGCTTTTGACATCTCAATTGAGATATCTCTGGCAATGTTTGAAGTCTCACTCTTGTTTAACCCCTGAAAAGCAAAATAATGTTTCTAATTTTGGTTATTACACTATTCTCAGTGCCTAGCACAGGTAAAAGTATGCAGCAGATATTCAGTAATTATTTATTATAAGACCTGAATGCAATTTTTAAAGGATACAAAGATAATCGCCAAGAAACCACATTATTTCTGTCTTACCCCAAACCTGAGTTTTTCAAACTATTTTTCTACATCAAATGTCTAAAATTGTATTAATTGGGGTAGGACTGCTGTGGAAGTTCCTAGTGTTTAGCAAAATGGGCAACTTTTATTTATATTTGTACCTCCTTCAAGGCAGTATGGATACATGCAACAAACATGGACTGCACATTCCTGTTGTGCCCTTCATGAATTGGGATCCTGAGAAATTATTCAGTGGTTAATTTTATGTGTCAGTTTGCTGGGGTCACAGAGTGTCCAGATGTTTGGTAGAACATCCTTGTGGTGTTTTTGTGTGTGTCTGAGGAAGATTAACATTTAAGTTGACAGTTTGAGGCCACAGCCAAGTGCTGTCACACTACATAGATGGGCTCATCCGATCCTCTGAAGGCCTGAAGAGACCAAAAGCCCTGAGCCTCCAGGAAGAGATCCCTCTGTGTGACTGCTGCCTTTGAGCACTGTTTCTTTCCCAGGCCTCAGCTTCTGGCCTTCAGACTGACTCCACCCTGCCTGTGCTCTTGAGGCCTCAGCTTGCTAGCTCTTCTTACAGATCTGTCTGGTCTGATCAGCCTCCATACTCAGGTATCTCTGTCTGTTCTGCCTCTCTCCCTGTTGCCTTCCTATGGGTTCTGTTTCTCTTGAAAATCTATGCAGGCTCTTTTTCTAAGCATATAAAAGAGAAATTGTACCTATTCTGTGAGTGTTACAGAACTTAGGCAGCTACCATGGTGTCTCACATACAATATATACTTGCTTGACTTCCTTACCCTAAAACGTGTCACTTGATAAAAGGTTGAGAGGTTCAGAGTAGCTTCCCACATGTTACAGAGAAGTAATTGACCACTGGTAAATGTTTGCTAATATTCCCTTTTCTAACAAGATCCCCTATTTTTCTTCATGAAAAAAAAATCCATTTTTAAAGGGTCTTTATGTAGTGATTTCTGAAAATGATAATGAAGCATCTACAGGAGACCCAAATGCAGAACAGAGGTCAAAGCAAAACAAAGCATAAATATTTTTGTAGGATTTTTTCTAGTTTATTTATTTGGGTACCAGGGATTGAACCCAGGCCTCATGTATGCTAAGCATGCGCTCTATTACTGAGCTACATGTTCAGGCCCATGAGTAACTTTTCAGTGGGAAAGAGTGGTGAGCTAATTTTGAGACTGGGAGATCAGTTCAGAGCAATCCATCTTTCCCTGTCCGCTAAGATGGCTCCAGCTGATTCCAACAATGGTTACATTTGCAATGCCCCAGAGGGTGAACAAATATCAGCAATACACTCATACACTTGTGCTATTTGAAATCTAGTAGTTAGTCCTGATGGATTAAGTCAAAGTGGAAGCCAACCCTCCTGCATAAGGCAAAGCTTGAAAGGATTTTTATTCAGCCATTATCTCCTCCCCAAAGAGGCTAAAAAGTTAAGATTAGTGGTAGTTAAGTATTGTCATTGCCTAATGAAGAGATAGCTGATCTAGATAAAAATAACCTCTCTGCAAATAGTGCTGATTTTTTATTATTTTCTTAACTGATATATAGCATCATAAAATTATATATATTAATGGAATGTCATGGTTTAATATTGTGTAAAGTTTAAACAGGATTAAACATAGATCTTCATGGTAATTAAATCCATTCTTCTAGCTTTTTGAGATACATAGTACATTAAGCTTCTCTATAGTCACCCTACTGTGCAATTAGCACCCCAGCAATTCTTTAATTCAACTGTAACAATATCCGTTGGTCAACTTTTCCCTGGATCTTTCCCCCGACTCACTCCAGCCTCATATCCACCATTCTACTGTCAGCTTAATATCAGATCAATTTTTAGATTTCATATGGGTGAAATGATAAAGTGCTTGTCTTTCAGGCCTGGCTTTTTCTTAACATAATGATCTCTAGTTTCATTCATGTTATCACAAATACCAGGATTTTATTCTTTTTATGATTGAATAACATTCCATTGTGTATATGTGTCTCCTTTCTCCATTCAGTTGATGGATGTGTAGGTTATTTCTATTTTTTAGCTATTGTGAATAGTGCTGAAATAAATATGAACTGCAGGTATCTGTTGTAAATTAAGCTATACCAAAATGCAATTTTGAAAAGGTTTATTTTACTAGTTTAGGCCGTGACCATAGGATTCACTACCCATTAATTAGCAACCTGAGGGATTCCTAACAAAGACCTAAGAGCCCTTGATGTGGTCATTTAAACTCTCTGAACCACTGTAAAACAGGTATATTAGGACTATCTCACCAAGTATCATAAAAATAAAATGCATATGTGTTTGGTCCTCCATTAGATGAGAGAGAGAGAACGGAAAAAGAAAGAAAAGAGGCTTTATTGCAGGCCTGGGAGGGCTGTGGAAGAGAGGCAAGCACCCTCTGAAGGAACCAAAGACATACCTCGGGCTTTATTTGGAAATGACAGGGCTGGAGTTACAGGGGTGGACAGAATGATGCATCGACAGCTCATTGGAGCCTTGGTGCATGCACAAAAAGCGGGACATTCAACATTCCAGTTTTGGCAGAGTAAAGGTCAGTGCCCCAGGGAAGCACTGTCCAGTGCCATGTTGACTTGCACATGGGAAAAAACCATCAATATGAAGCATTTATCAAAAAACAAAATTGAAACAAATTTAGTTGGAGATCTAACTGGCTTTTATCAACAGTTTGAGGAACTAAGACTGTTACATCAGTTGTTACTAGTTACATCAGTTGTTTGTTTTCCAGGGCTGAGGGTCAAAGCCAGGGCTCCACACATGGCAAACGCTCTATCACTGAGCTACATCACCAGCCCTAGATTACTTTTTTAGTAAGGGTTAAAAGAGAGGAGATTTTCTTATTATGCTGCCAACTTAGGTGGACTAAAATCTGTTTTCAGAAAAAGATGGTGTGTTTGGAAATCTGTCTACTTCCTTAAAGTTAGATAAAGTGGCATTTAGCACGAATCACTTGGTCTCTTAGGGCCTAGTGCAAGAGCTCTGCCCAAACAAGGGTTTCCCAAACTTTTTGTTTAGCGTACTTTACACTGTGCCCAACACAGGTATTTTGCTCTTTAACAACCTACCAGAGTGTTTTAGAACTTATTACTGGGTAGTAATGACTGTTTCCTTTGAAAGAAGTTGTTTTCCTGATCAGAAACTAAAGTCAGTTGTAGCTCTAATGAGCCAACTCTTGACTTGGAATGTAAGTTTGTTTTGTTTACTGCATCCTTTCCTTCACAGTGTCTGAAGACTCACTAACAATCTGGAGAACGTTGAAAGCAGTAAACACACCTTGCAAAGGTGGTGAGACTGAAAATTAAGAACTGAGAGAAGCAGCGTAGACTTCCTACATGTGCTCCCCTGTTGTCCTTCAGCCTCTCTCATTAGTAAAGGCTTGCACCAACTGAGAAATGCAAACTTGCGGAAATTCCCATGCCCACCAGAGGGAGTCCTAGCCAGAGGCAGCTGTTTCTATGACAAAGCACAGTGGGTTAGAGTTGCTTTTTCTTTTTGTTTTTGTGCAAGTTTCTCATTATCATGTCATCCAGATTAGAAAAACTGCAGTACTGTTAACTAAAGGAAGTTTGCCACTTTCATTTCAAAGAAGCATTTTCATTTCAAAGATTTTAATTAGTGTCCTAAGACAGACAATGTAAACCCTGAAGGCAAAACAAATGCTGTATGGTAAGCTGATCAAAGGATGTGGCTGTCAGACTGCTCTTTTGTCTGTGGGCGCAATAGAGGTAAGAACAGGTAAGAACTTTAAAGAACTCCACATGTAATAAAAAATAAAATGTCTAATCTTGCATTGCCCTCAAACATACCTTAAACCATAGGAATTTTTTGTTTTTGTTTTTGTTTTTGTCTCTTTGAGACAGGGTCTCTGTGCTGCTTAAGCTGGCCTTGAGCTCATTTGATAACCCAGCCTGATCTCGAACTTGCCATGGTCCTCCTGCCTCAACCTTCCTAGTACTTGTTAGAGTATTCTGGCGCAATAGAGAAGCAAAAGTACAAAAATGAACAGTTTTATTGAGTTGAGGACGTGGAAAGGAGCACAAAACCAATGGTGGTTGGGCTGTCTCCTTACAGCCAGATACAGAGAGACAGAGGGTTATATGACCTCTGATTGAAGTGGGCTATGGGGTGGATATTGATGACACGTGAGGCACTGACTGGAATTCTCTGTGCATGCAAACAGAAAGTCCCTTTAGGGCTGAAGAAGAAGAAGGAAGTGGTAAGGTTCCCTTTGGCCTTCTGCCACATTAGATTACCGCCATAACTGT